ATAGAGACAGAAAGTATATTAGTGGGTGGCTAAGACTGGGGAGAAGACTAACAGGAAGTGACTGCTAATGAGTATGAGGCTTCTTTGGTGGGGGAGGGGGACAAAAATGTTCTAAAATTGATCATGTTTGGGAGGCCGAGGCGGGTGGAACACTTGAGGTCAGTAGTTTGAGACCAGACTGGTCAACATGGCAAAATCCTGCCTCTACTAAAAATACAAAAATTAGCTATGTGTGGTGGTGCCCGCCTGTAATCCCAGCTACTTGGGAGGCTGAGGCAGGAGAATCACTTGAACCAGGAGGCAGAAGTTGCAGTGAGTCAAGATTGCACCACTGCACTCCAGCCTGGGTCACAGAGTGAGACTCTGTCTCAAAAAATAAAAATAAATAAATAAAGCTACTAAACAGTATACTTTTATTTATTTATAACAGTATTTATTATTATTTTTAACAGTACCCTTTAAAAGGGTGAATTTTACTCAGGAGGTTGAGGCCAGAGGATCACTTGAGCCCAGGAGTTTAAGTCCAGCCTGGGCAATATAGTAAGACCCTGTCTCAAAAATAAATAAATAAAAGGTGAATTGAATGATATGTGACATATATCTCAATGAAGTTGCAACGAAAAGATGGAAGAAGTAACAGAATGTCTATGTGCTAATGAGAATGATCTTGCAGAGAGGGGAAAACTGGTGGAACCATGTCCTCAAGTAGGTCAGAGACAATGGGATCAAGTGGCAAAGTAGAGAGAGACTAGATTTTGATGACAGTAGGAGCAGCTTATCTAGAAAAGAGACGAAGGCAGAGTATATGTGTACAGATGCTATGTGGTGGTTGGATGTCATGGTGGGAATTGGTAGATGTTTTATTCCAATGGTTTTCGTTTTTTTCAGTCAAGTAAGAAGCCTGAGTATAAGGATGGGAGAGGAAATGTTGAAGATTTCAGGAGCGAAGGTATGAAACAATCTAGGAGGGCAGGAGAGGAAATGAAATGGAGCAAACAGAGAGCTGGATTTAGCCAAGACTGAGGCTATGCCCTGTAAAGTGGATGGTAAGTACACTGAAGTGACAGAGGGCAAAGGGAAGTGAGACTGTCTGTCCAGGAATGACTGTAACAGTGGGCCGTGGAATCTAAGCTGATTAAAGGAGGAACATGCGAGCATGGGGGAAGTGAAGGAAGTGAAAACGTTCAGTCCCACTGGGGTTGAAGGACTGCTGGAGCTGGAGTACTAGCTGAGGTGGGCTAGAAAAATAGGAGGTACTGGCTAGAGAGCAGGATGCCTGAAACTAAGAATACGGAAATAATGCAGTCACAGGTACTGATAAGATCAAAGGTCAGGCCCAATGTGGTGGCTCACGCCTGTAATCCCAGCACTTTGGGAGGCTGAGTAGGGTGATCACTTGAGGTCAGGAGTTCGAGACAAGCCTGGCCAACATGGTGAAATGCCGTCTCTACAAAAATACAAAAATTAGCTGGGTGTGGTGGCAGGCACCTGTAGCTACTCTGGAGGCTGAGGCAGGAAAATCACTTGAACCCAGAAGGCAGAGGCTGCAGTGAGCTGAGATTGTACCACTGCACTCCAGCCTGGGTGACAGAGTGAGACTCTGTCTCAAAAAAAAAAAAAAAGAGTCAGACTATTGGAGTAGGTAGCTGAGGTGGGAATGAAAGGCAAGATCATTGTGGGGTAGCAAATCACAGAACTGATAGATAAAAATACTGGAAGGATCATCTATAAAGATATTAAAATCACCAAGAATTAGGACTGGACCAGTGTTAAAAAGAATGACAGTGAGATCATAATGTAGTAATGGTAGTGACAGAGGCAGATATGTGTGTATGTCTGTATATGATGATACAGAGTGGTAGCTGATGGTATATTCTGATGATTTGAGATTTACAACAGGGTGGTTGATATTTATATAATCTCAAAGTATTAAATCACTTATTAATCATGAAGGAAAAAAGACGAACTACAGTGGAAAAACCTGACAGACACCACCTTAAACAAGGACTCAAAGTGAACAAAACCAGTATCAGGACAAAATGACATCACATGCCTCCCGATAGGAAGCACTGAAAACATAACTTCTCTTCTGCGGTATTCTCACCAAAATTACATAACTTGAATATAAGCACAGTGTAACTTGAGACAAATCCAAATTCTATGAAATAACTGTCCAGGACTCTTCTAAATGGTCAAAATCATAAAAGACAAAGAAAGACTAAAGAACTGTTCCATACTGTTAAAGCCTAAGGAAGCATGATGACTAAATTTAATGTGGGAGCCTGAAAGGAATCCTTGAAAAGAAAAGTGGCACTAGTGGAAAAACTGATGTAATCTAAATAAACCCTGCAGTTTCATTAAGAGTACAGGCAGTAGCTCATTTATTGTGTTGCACTTTATTGCACTTCACAGATACTATGTCTTTTACTAATTGAAGGATCATGGCAATGTTACATTGAGCAAATCTATTCGTACCATTTTTCCAACAGCATGTATTCACTTAGTGTCTCTGTCTTACATTTTGGTAATTTTCACATTTCAAACCTTTTCTTATATCTGTTATGGTGATCTGTGATCAGTGCTTTTTTTTTTTGAGACAGGGTTTCAAGACTGTTGCCCAGGCTGGAGTACAGTCGTGTGATCCCAGCTCATTGCAGCCTTTGCCGCCTGGGCTCAAGCGATTCTCCTGCCTCAGCCTCCCCGAGTAGCTGGGACTAGAGGCACATGTCACGACGCCCAGCTTAATTTTTGTATTTTTTGCAGAGACAGAATTTCACCATCTTTCCCATGCTGGTCTTGAACTACTGAGTTCAAGCAATCCGCCCACCTCAGCCTCCCAAAGTGCTAGGATTATAGGCGTGAGCTACTGCACCCTGCCTAGATCAGTGATCTTTCGTGTAACTATTGTAATTGTTTTAGGGTACCATGAACCGAACCCATATAAGATGGCAAACCAGGCTGGACGCGGTGGCTCACGCCTGTAATCCCAGCACTTTGGGAGGCCAAGGTGGACGGATCACAAGGTCAAGAGATCGAGACCATTCTGGCTAACATGGTGAAACCCTGTCTCTACTAAGAATACAAAAAATTAGCTGGGCATGGTGGTGCATGCCTGTAATTCCAGCTACTCAGGAGGCTAAGGCAGGAGAATTGCTTGAACCCGGGAGGCAGAGGTTACAGTGAGCCGAGATGGCGCCACTGCACTCCAGCCTGATGACAGAGCGAGACCCTGTCTCAAAAAAAAAAACAACAAACAAACAGAAAAACAAAACAAAAAAAACAAGATGACAAACTGAACTGACAAATATGTATGTTCTGACTACTCTACTGACGGGCTATTCCTCCGTCTCTCTCCCTCTCCTCAGGCCTCCCTATTCTGAGACACAACGATATTGAAATTAGGCCAATTAATAACCCCACAATGGCTTCTAAGTATTTGAGTGAAAGGAAAAGTCTCAACGTCTCTTATTTTTTATTTTTATTTTTTAGAGATGGGGTCTTGCCATCTTGCCCAGGCTGGTCTAGAACTCCTGGGCTCAGACAATCCTCCCGCTTCAGCCTCCCAAACGGCCAGGATTATAGGCATGAGCCATTGCACCCGGCCTTCAACATCTCTCACTTTAAATCAAAGGCTGGAAATGATTAAGCTTTGTGAGGAAGGCATGTTGAAAGCCTAGATAGGCGAAAAGCTAGGCTTCTCGCGCTGAACAGTTAGCCAAGTTGTCAATACAAAGGAAAAGTTTTTGAAGGAAATTAAAAGTGCTATTCCAGTGAACACATGAGTGATAAGACAGTAAAACAGTGTTATTGTGGATATAGAGAAAGTTTTGGTGGTCTGGCTAGACAATCGAACCAGCCACAAGATTTCCTTAAGCCAAAGCTTAATTCAGAGCAAGGCCCTAACTCTCTTCAATTCTAATGAAGGCTGAGAAAGGTGAGGAAGCTGCAGAAGAAAAGTTGAAAGCCAGCAAAAGTTGGTTCATGAGGTTTAAGGAAAGACGCCATCTCCATAACATAAAAGAGCAAGGTGAAGCAACAAGTGCTGATGTAGAAACTGCAGGAAGTTATGTAGAAAAATCTAGCCAAGACAGTTGATGAACCACAGATTTTATTTTTACTATTATTATTTTTTTAAGACAGAGTTTCACTCTTCTTGCCCAGGCTAGAGTGCAGTGGTGCAATCTCGGCTCACTGCAACCTCCGCCTTCCAGTTTCAAGTGATTCTCCTGCCTCAGCCTCCTGAGTAGTTGGGATTACAGGCACCTGCCACCACGACTGGCTAATTTTTGTATTTTTAGTAAAGATAGGGTTTCATCATGTTGGCCAGGCTGGTCTCAAACTCCAGACTTTGTGATCCTCCCGCCTCAGCCTCCTAAAGTGCTGGGATTACAGGCGTGAGCCACTGCACCCGGCCAACAGATTTTCAATGTAGATGAAACAGCCTTATGTTGGGAGAAGATGCCATCTAGGACTTTCATAGCTAGAGAGAAGTCAATGCCTGGCTTCAAAGTTTCAAAGGACAGGATGACTCTCTTATTAGAGGCTCATGCAGCTGGTGACTTTTAACTTGATGCCAGTGTTCATTTACCATTCTGAAAATCCTAGGGCCCTTAAAAAAATGTACTCTGCCTGTGCTCTATAAATGGAAAAACAAAGCCTGGACAACAGCAAATCTGTTTATAGCATAGTTTACTAAACACTTTAAGCCCACTGCTGAGACCTTGGTACTCAGATAAAAAGATTCCATTCAAAATATTACTGCTCATTGACAATGTACCTGAACACCTAAGAGCTCTGATGGAAATGTACAAGGAGATTCATGCTGTTTTCATGCCTGCTAACACAACATCCATTCTGCAGCCCATGTATCAAGGAGTAATACTGACTTTCAGGTCTTATTATTTAGAAAATACATTTCGTAAGGCTATAGCTGCCAAAGACAGTGATTCCTTTGATGGATCTGGGAAAAGTAAATTGAAAATATTCTGGAAAGGACTCACCATTCTAGATGTCATTAAGAACATTTGTGATGCATGAGAGGAGGTCAAAACATCAACATTAACAGGAGTGTAGAAAGTTAACTCCAACCCTCAGGGATGACTTTCAGGGGTTCAAGACTTCAACAGAGGAAGTAACTGCAGAGATGGTGGAAACAACAAGAGAATCAGAATTAGAAGTGGAGTGT